GGAGGCTAAGCCAAGAGAATTGCTTGAGCACAAGAGTTTGAGGTTGCTGTGAGCTATGACACCATAGTACTCTACCAAGGGCAACAAAATGAAACTCTGTCCCCAAAAAAGAAAATAATAAAATTAAATAAAACATGGCGCATTCATAGCATAGATAAAATCAATAGGGTAGATCCATATGCGATCCAGGAAGGCGATCCAGGGTATAAAGTCATATATGCAAAAAGGAATATGACCCATTTTTGCCTTAAAAAACCTACAGTTCTGAGGATATGGCTACTGTATGTATAAATACACACCCTTTACTTCCCTGCCAAAACTGTTCATAGGTCAAGAAGTGTTAACAGCCCCTGCCTCCCTGATCCTCCTCAAGCCAAGAGAGCAGAGCTCCTCTGCCAACCTCATCCACACGTCCAGGCAGGATGCTCAGGGAGGCTCTCAGCTGGGCATGAACAGTGAGGATCTGAAGAATCTGGGCCATCCGCTCCTCCTCCTCCTCACTTTGGTGTGGCATCTCAGTCAGCACCATCTTCAGAAACGGGAAGACTAAGGAGAAGGCTGGTGCAGACAAGGGTGCAGCATCTGTGAATAAGAAGCAGACAGGATACTGCAGGCAGGCTGGCACCCTGGAGCTGTCGCCACCCCTTTCCTTCCTTAGGGCAGTTGGGCAAGGGGGAGGCCTGGCGGACCCTCTGACAACCTGGAAGCACCTGGGACAAGGACAACAGGATGGCAGCTAGTAGCCCAGCTCTAAAACAAGCCTGCTTCTATTTCAAACACTGCCCAGCTCTAGGATATAAGAGTTAAAACAGAGGTGATGCCAGTGACAAGAAGTAAACCCTTAATGGGAATCCTAGCCAGTCACAGAATTATCAGGTCTGATCCCCATTTTTTAGATGAGGAAACCAAAGCTCCCCAGACCCAAGTGAAGGTCCTAGGTAATGCTGTGGCTCATGCAGCTATCCTCACGGCAGATCACACTGCCTCATGCCGTTGGTCATAGCCTGGCCCTTACCTGGGTCCCCCTTGCCCACCCTGCTGGTGATGGTATGCGCGTGCAGCAACGTCACTGCTCTCTTCACAGCCACTGACAGCTCTTCCTGGCACCAGGACTTATCTAGAGCACACTCAGGCTTCAGCATGCGCAGTGTCACATGGCTTACCAGAGTGCCTAGGTTGAAGAGAAAAGACCAGCAGGGGTGACTCACACAGAGATGCAGAATCTGGCCATGGCACAAATGACGAACTCTGTGGCACAGAGGTCTCTCTGCTTCAGCAAAATGTTCTCAGCCTAATTTCTCACTTGATCTTTCTGACAGCACCAGACAGGGAGCTGCCCTTTAGATACTCAAGACATCTTAAGTGCACTGAGATGAGACATGAGCCACCCAAAGGCTACTCTGCCAAGCGTTAAGCTCTATCATATAGTGCTTCCACTTCCACAACAAACCCAGGCAGCCAGGTAATACTTCTTCCAGCAGGTTCTGTATATACTGACTAACTTCTCCATTTGGAACCATTCTCAGATTCCAGTCTCACACCTGGGAACAGACTCTTTAGACTGGGGAAGAAGTCTGCTTATGGTTGTTAAGTAACTCATAAAAGTAAGGCCACTGTAATCCCCAGCTACATTCCCCAGTCTTTGTTTCTCCAGAGCTGACAGAAAGCTAAAGGTCAGAGACCTCAATCACTACAGACACGTGGCTGCTCAGAGCTCTGGGCCACACTGACAGGCCACATCACACCCAACCATTCTCACTGCCTATGAACTTCTGACTTCCTTGTTTTAGACTTGGTATATAAAGAGCAGATGCTGACTAGGATCTAAAAATGGATCCTCAGAGTGAAGGCACAAAAGACGTTAAGATAGGAGAGAAGAGGACCACTATGTCTCTCCTAAGATCATCCAGCCTGAGGTTCCTGGAGCTACTTCCATATGGAAACAAAATCCAGCAGTTGAGGTCACCATCCAGCAGTTGCTTCCCCACAAGGACTCAGGGGCATCCCCTGCCCACACCCTGAGCCATCCCCACAGCCAGCAAACAAGGACTAACCCAAAGGCTTGAGCCTAGGGGGCATGACACAGGCAGCCAAGGACAGGAAGGGATTCTTGATCCTGGGAGCAGCCAAGGGAGATTTCAGCAAGGGCAGGAAAGAGTCAACCAAAACAGGGATGTACTGGGTCAGGCCAGATGGGTTCTTGGCCAGGACGGTGTCCAGTAGTCCCAGCGCCGCCTCCAGCTCCCCATCCAGCTGCAAACAGAATTGCCCAGGAGCCAAGTCAGCAAGGCTCTGCTCTAGGACAGCAAGGAGTGGCCCAGGCCCCCAGCAGCACTCTTCCTGCATGGGAACATGGAGGTGGCAGCCACTCACCTCCTGCAGCCGTCTCCGGATCTGTGCCTCCCTGTCCAGCTGGGCCTGCATCATCTCCTTCTGCTTGCTAGTCAGCTGCACTTCCTCTTTTATGCCTTTCTTCTTCTTTATCTCCTGAAGGGGATGGGAAAACCCAGCAAGCTGACTTCCGTAAACAGCACCATGCCAGCTCTAAGTCTGGATTAGGACCTCAAACCTTCCACGTGTCCCCCTAACCTCTCACAAACTCCACAGTCACCTGGTTTCCACAGAATAGAAACAGCCATAGAGAAGCAATTTTTTACTGGATTCTCTACTGACAAAAGCAACAGGGGTCTTTTGTATGTTAGAGAAATAAAAAGTTCCTCAATGTACTCAAACTAATATTCTGGTAGCCACATGGCTTCAGAATCAAAACTTTAGTCTTTCCCCCTACCCAATGCCTCCCTACAGAAGCTCTCCCACAGGACAAGGTGAAGCTTGGAAAAGGCTGGAAAAGGTAGCCAAAGACAACGAGGCAGAGAATCACTCACTCACTCAGCAAATATTTACTGAGCACCTGCCTTGTGCCAGGCACTGTTCTAGATGCTAGGAATACCATGGGAAACAAGATAAAGTCTCTGCTCTCAGGGAGCCCACAATCTAGTGAGCAAAGATAGAGAATAAATAAATAAATACATAACCAAGACAATTTCAAATCATGACAAATGTTAGGAAAGAAGTGAATATGCACAGTAACTGAGGAGAGGGATGGAGTCTACTTGGACCAGGTGGACAGAGGAGGGCACCTCTCTGAGAAGGGCATATGGTGCTGATATGTAAACGACAGGTAGAATCCAACCTCGAAAAGACCAAGGAAAGTGTAAAGAATGAGACAGGAAAGAACCCTATGTGCTCTGCTCCTGTCAGCACCAACCCTGTTCAACTGATACCACAACTGAACCAGGATTTCCTGAGGCCCCAGTGTGCCGAGCACTGTGCCTACTGTCAGTAGAGATGAGTGGAAGCCTTCAAGGAGCTGAGGGGACAGACATGGAATCAAGCAACACTACTGAATGGAGGAGACAGATTTATCAACTGTTGCTGGCACCACACAGCAGAGAAAGAAATTGATTTTCCTTGAGTGGAGGTGGAGAAAGCTATGGAGAATGACAGAGTGTGGCCACTGGACCAGGCACTGGTTGGGGGGATCACGGTGTGCCATGGGCCTCAGGAAAAGTCACTGGCCTGTGGCCACCAAACTTAGCCACCCATTGTGATGCCTCTGTGTACTCACCTCCTTCAGCTCTAGCTCAATGATCTGCTCCTTGAAGGAGTAAGCTTTATTCTCTCGCTTCATGTTGGCCTTTTTAATGCTGTCCTGCTGGGCACTGAAACAGAAGAGCTGGTGATCAGCCAACTTGAAAAGCACTATAAAGCCCCTCAACCTCCCACAAGACATGAACTCTCAGCTAGTTTTAAAGTGCTGTGCACCAGGCAGCACCCATAGCTCAGTGGGTAGGGCACCAGCCACATACACGGAGGCTGGCAGGTTGGATCCCAGCCAGGGCCTGCTAAAACAACAATGACAACTGCAACTCTTGCTTAAGCCTGAGAGTTTGAGGCTGCTCTGAGCTGTGACACCACGGCGCTCTACCCAGGGCGACAGTTTGAGAATCTGTCTCAAAAAAAAAAACAAGTACTGTGCACCAGCAAAGTGCCCAGATGCTCGATACCCTCTGGTATCCAGGACCTAAGCACCATGGCTAGAACACAGCAAGTGCTTATCTAATAGGGGGATGGGTTGCTTGTCCATCCTGTAAGCAAGAAAACTGTGGCTTGAGATGGAAAGGTAACAGCCTGTGAGTGGGGTCTCACCTCTGAATGATAGATTTGTCATACAGCTCCCCAGCAGGGGTCTGCATAATAGCAAACTCCTCTCGAGTGACCAGGTGTAGTGCAGGGTTCTGCACAGTGGCGGTGATGGTGCTAATGAGCTGTGGGAGGACTCGGTCCGGGGACAGGATGGAAAGGGAGCCCATGGCGTTCATGGAAGACTGCCAGACAAACACAGACATGGTCAGTATGTGCCAAGACTGGCATTGGCCAGGGGTCCACCACACCGAGGCACCCTCAGTGTTGGCTTCCCTTCTTTCTGCCACTGCCTTGTCACTTCTGAGCACTACCCACTGGAGTGGCTAGCTGGAGTTAGTATCTGCCTCACTCAACAAGCATTTACCCCTTCATCCAATAAGAGCACCCTAACTTAAGGAGACACACTTGTCCCTAAATCTCAATGTTTATGGTTCAGGTGGAGCTGCCCTCCCCCTCCCCAGGGGGAGGTAAGTGGCCCCAACCAGAAGTATGAGTACAGGGATGAACACAGGTCCCAAATCAAGTCAACCAGGAGCAAAGAGATTTGAAGCCAATGGACATAATGGAAAAATGCAAGCTTTTCCCACTGGAGCTTTTGAGAGGTCATAGGCGAGCCTGGAATTCTAGCCATAATCTTGCTACTAAAAACAAAAAGACAGAGAATGGAGCCCATATTGAGTAAAAGAGAGACAAGAAAAACAGAGTAAGAGAAACACTACCTACAACATCCCAAATGTAACACTGGAGCCCTATAGTCAGCCTCAGATGAAGGAGGTCATATCCCTGGATTTTGCAGGTAAATGAGGTAATAAATCTTCTTTTGTGTACAAAGGTCCAAGCCTATGTTTCATCACACCTTTCCCTGCTTCTCTGAATCCTCCCTTCCCGTATTCTATGATAAGAGATGCCTCTAACCTGAGGCCACCCTAGCTCATGTGCCAAGAGACATACTTGGTTCAAGGGACTCTGCATGGTGATCCTGGGAATGATCTGATCCAGATGCCTGGTGATAAAGGCTTCAGGATCAATTTTCATCCTGGCAAGAAGCGCTGGCCAGAGCCCAGCCTGCACTGCCACTGAAAGACAGGAGAGCTCTTTGAGGCCCTTACCCTGCCCAACATAGCCTCCCACATCTCCCACACCCACCACAGCCACAGACCTAAGGATGGGTGGTGAGAGATGATCAGCATCTCCTGGGCCAGCTGCTCGGTGTTGGTGATGTCACCCTTGAGCCCTGGCACGCCAGAGATGACACACAGAGCCTCCTGCAGAACTCGTGGAGGCACATAGGCCTTGCCTGCCTCAGTCACCTCCCCAGCATCAGTCACCAGAGACTCTGAAGGCAGCACCTGCATGGAGACAACATATGAGCCCCCACTGCTCACAGTCCTGTGCAGGCTTGGAACACAGCAGCCAACAACACCAGGGACACAGCAGCTTTGTGCTTGTGGTGTTCTCTAGGGTC